CTCCCCACCCCTATTTCCAGATTCACACGTTCCTGAGAGCTTTTTCTGTCTCCGTGTCAGAAGAAGGGTAAAGTCTTAATCCTCAAAATAGGGTAGAAAATGGCTTTTGTGTGTATGCATATGTGCATGTGTGGGACACACGGGCCAGTATTTCTTTATGAAAACAAAGAAGGAAATCGTTTCAGGTGATTTCAGGTGCCCAGGTCCCAGATGTGTTAATCATTAGAAGCAAAAGACAAAAAGAAATGAAGCTTCAAATAAAATAGTTAGCAGAGATATATTTGTAAGTATTACAAAGTAACCATTCTCTGAGCTGTATATACAGCTGTGATGCTATAATTATATGTTATTCTCTGGAAATTCTTATTTCTGCGGAGAAGAGGAAGGGAGTGATGGATGCTTTAATACAGCGATAGTTTTTCCCCTTGTGTTTATGAGTAGGCCTTTAGTTCTCCTCCTGGGTTTTACATCATTGTAATTCCACTTGATCTGAATCTTCCTTACATATTTTGATTTTATGACAACATTAAGTTTATTTGGCAGTGGAGTTATTTTCATCCTAATTACTTTTCTTCTCTGTGTTTATTATTTTCACAAAGTGAGACAGACTAGGGTAAAAAAAAGTAACCATAAAAGTCCTAATATTTTCTTACTATTCTATTTTGTTTAGCCTAGTAACTCCCCACTTCTCCACTGTGAAACATGCTGGTGATCAGTGCTGGACCTGGCTGGAAAAAATCTGAGTTACCAGTTAGGTGACACATTATTAGAACTCCTTTAGAGAATGCAAGGCCACACAGGTTCCAGCTTCACCAACCTTATAATTTAGGAAATTTAGGTCAAACTTTATTTTCTTGAGAAGGACTGACATATTCTTAGTTTTTTTCCTACTTGATTATTTTTACTCCACCAGAACACCAGCATCTTGCTAAGTGTGTGCTTTTTGCAGAAATTCATTGCCTCAGTTACATTTCTTTGTCTTTTTCTCCCACCCACCCCCAAGTGATATTGGATGCATCCCTTGTATTTAGCATCTTTAACGTGATGTTAATCATGCATTTGCTAACTTTGCCGTATTTTTATTTATCTGAGTTTTCTCTTTTTATCTGCTGTTGTTTGGTGTTGAAGTTTAATTAACTCACCTTATGGAATACTTCTCAGATTGTAGATGAATTATCTAGCAGGGATAATAATTCATCCAGATAAGCGTTTTTTTTTTGAAAACTAGAAGATAGTAAAGACATTTCTTTTTCACTTAATAGTGAAATATACATTGATTTCTTCCTTTTTCACTCTAGGCCATGTGTTCCAACATGATGACCAAACCAACGAGAACTCCTATCTTATGGTTCTTATTAAAAAAATTTTTTTTTTTTTTTCCCTTTTTTTTTCTTACCCCTCCTCCTGGTACACAAGAGAAAAGCTGCTCAACCACTTCAATTGTTTTGCTTGGACTGCTGATTCTGCTTCCATTTTGGGGACACATTTAAGGTTTATATACTGTTGTATCATTTTTTTTTTCTCATTTTCTGGACCTATTTTATATGGGAACTTTTCTTTGCTCTGAAAAAGTTTTTTAATTTTCATTTTCTTTTTTCTTGTAATACAGTTACACACTATACCAAATGAGAAAGAAAAAAAAAGAAATCATTAAGAGACAATAGTAAGTGAAAAATGAAAGCCTCAGTCTAGAAATTCAGGATCCACCATTTCAAGAGTGGTGATTTTGTCTTATCTCCTGGCTTTGCCAACATTGCTCTCTTATGACCTGAGATGCTGAGACAGTAGGATAACATGCATCTGTCTCTCAAATGTAACTGTAGTAGTAGTCGTAACACTGGAATTCAGTTTTACTTTAAGCCTTTTCTTTTAAACCAGCTACTAAATCACCCTAGAAAAAATTGTCCAGAAGGGCCTGGGAATCTGATTGCGCCAAGATTAACTATCCAAACTCTTCACTCGGCAGTGCCAGTTTGAAACGTTTGCTGCTTCCTGTCACCTCTCCTGCTCACCCCCTCCCTGTCCCTGGTTTCCCCTCTTGCTTTTCTTTTCACATTTCAAAACCTTTGAGCATCTTAACATGAACAATTATGGATAAAGATGATACAAATAAATCAATTATTTTCTCCTCCCCTTCTTAAAAAAAAAATTCTTTTGCAGTTGTGTTCTTTAAAGTGTCTACAGATGATCATTTCACTGTCTTGAATTTTGAAAGGGAATAGGATATAATTTAAAATCCATTTTACATTATTCTATCAAGAGATACTCCAATTTATATTTTAATTGGGAGATATGCTGTGTAAAATAAGAAAAAACACTAGATATGTTTTAAAAATCTGATTAAAGTGGTTTTGTAATGGCTTATATGTCATGAAAGGACAATAATATTAGACTTACTCTTCTATTTTTGGGTGCCTAGTTTCTAAAAATACAGCAAAGTCTTCTGACAATATGACAAAGAATTGCAGTTACATTTTTATGCCAACCTTGAAAATATGTGGGGTTATTTTTATTTTTATTTTTTGTTCATTAGGAAAGGTCTTGCTACAAAGCACAACTTTCACAGATACATGGTCAGCTTGTATGATACAGAGGGTGTTTTGTTGGTATTGCTGATGCCCAGTAGCACAGGAAGAAAGCAGGAGCAGACATCGTGCGTTGCACAGACTCCTCCAGGATTAGAAAAGAAATATTTCACTCAACTGCCAACAGTTTCACAACAGCAGCTTACTTGTGCTTGACTACAGAAGTACTGAGCCTTCTTCATTCTTTAAGGCTTATTTTGGTTTCTGTGAGATTGGTGAAATTTGGCTTCAAATACCAGGCTCTATGCAGCACTGGATGTGTCTCTGCTATGGAGATAACTTGAATGAGTTTATTTTTTTGGGTTAAACCAGCATAGGTGGGACTGTCCACACAGGAAATTATATTTGGGCTTTTGTAATCGTCTTCCTGATGGAGTGACTACCACTGATGTTACAAGCTCTGGGGACCAACCCAAGCCTCTCCTTGCTGCAGTCTGTTTCTCTGATAGGCCCTGCCTAGTGAACAGGGGGAAAATCAGTTGAAACCATTTTGTCTGTACTCTCATTTTCTCACTTCATTTAAGTCTTTTCTGTGCAGTATCTCACACTCAGCAGCATGGTTAGGGATTTGTTGTTTTTTCCTTTTCCTATTCAGAACAATTTTAGTAGTTCTGTTAAGTTGTTCTTTACATCTGGAAGTTGGCAAATCTTCTTCAATTAGTTCTTGAGGGGATAACAAATCTCTGTAACAATGATAACTAGAAAAACTGGAAGAATTTTTGGGTTTGTGCCCCTCATTTTTATTTTTTTGAAGAGCCTTTTATCTTCATGTTTGCCTTGCTTTTGCTATAGACTCTAATGAGAACAGAGATTGTACTGTGCTGGGAGCTCTGTCACTAAGAAATGGAGTTGGTTTGGGTTCATAGTGATTTTACCCTATCTTTTGAGCCAGCAATAAGGTCTATCGTATTGAATTCCACAGTTAAGTTTCAAGATAGCAATTTGTGTAGTTTTTCCACTTTAGTCAATAAGCACAGTTACTAGAAGTTCAGTCTTCTATGTTACTTTAACTTTCTAGACTAGCTGTTTTGTTCTAACCACCTAGTCATTCATTGCTGGCATCACACTCACACTTCCTTTGTCTCCACTTCCCTGAAGAGACTTACTTTTAAATATTAAATCAATGTTAAGTGCTGAATAACTTGAAATGTCTAGGAAATCAAATTTTAAGCACTGATCTGAGTTATTCTCTCTATGTCAGATATTATCCATATTACTTGAAGCAGTTCTGTGCCATCGGATGTCATGCACCACCACAGATTACTGGATTGAAAGCATGGTCATTAAAAACAGGATGATGGGAGAGAGAACGATGGCTGTTAGTGGTTTTTTTTTCATCTTTCAGCTCCCTGGCCAACATGACACAAGGACTGCACTCCACTCTGCAGAAAGACACAGACTAATACAGTCAAACTTGTGTTACTGTCTATGGTATTCCAGCTACCTCTTTTCTCATTATCCACAATCAGCATGCAACTTTAGGCCTAATATTGTTTGTTTTAATGTACTTACTTTACTTATGCATAATATGAAATCCACAACTGTAGACATCCCCAGGATGGTGCAAAACTCCAAAGGGAGGGTTTTGCTCCTCTGTTTGGGACCTTTTTGATTTCCCTTGCTTTGTTTCAACGGAAAAATGAAAAATCCCAGAGCAGCCAGTGACCTCTTCCTTTGTGCCAGTCCTCAAACCTACCAGGCAGCAATGGAGCTGGAGGAGCTTCCTCAAAATCCTGGGGGAGGGCCCTAGCCACTGCAACACAAAGTGGATGAGTAGGGGCTGAGGGCACCCCATTCTCTGCCCATGGAAAGGGTTGGAGGTAGATGAAAAAATCCCTCCCAACTCAAACCATTCTGTGATTCTGTGAGAAAAATATGAAACAAATCTTCCTACAACAGTGGAAGTGGTTCTGGAGGCTGACAGGAAGGGCAGAAACTAGCAAGACTTGAATCGCTGCAGGGGCTGAAAAGCCTTTTATTATAGCACTGTCATCACCATGACACTATATTTCATTGCTTAGATATGATTTTTTTCCTTCTTAGAGTATTCCTGCACCATTTCATATAAATATGGTTATTTTTTCCAAGAGCAGTCACTGTTAAAACCTCACCTTGTTTTACCCTCTTTGTGTATCAGCAAGGTGACAATAAATAAAACTTTAGGGTACCCTTATGTCTCTCGTTATTTTCTTGGGAGAATAATTGCTGATTGTGGTGCTATGGCTGTGAGTGTATTGTAGGGAGAGGCTTCCATCCAGCCAAAGGGCAGGGAAAATCACTACCATTAACCTGGTGCAGATGTAAAGTGCAGCCCTTCATGCGACTTGGCAGGAACACCTGAGCAATGCTTTCCTTAATTTAGACTATTTATCTATTTTAGCTTTATGATAGCTGTTTTTCATTTGTGTTTGGCAGCAAAAAGCTACAGCTAGGTTTTACCAGAGGAAAACAGGGAGTCCTGAGCAGCAAGTGCAATGAAAATTTTCCAGTCAGTAAGTGTCAATGCGAAGGAACATGCCACCTTGCAAAGGTAACGTGCAATAATATCCACCACTCTAGTTTGATAAGATATGTATTTCCAGGTTAAGTCTCTGGTTTCAGACTAAAGGTCATCCCAGGCTGTTAAACAATTGCTCTACTGTTTAGTTTTATAAGTTAGAATTTCACTTTTGCATCATTTTATTTCCATACCTCACACTGAGGCTACCTGTGCTTACAGGGGTCCACAGAAAGACCAGAGTCTGGGAAATTTTATAGCTGCAAAGTGTAAATTCCTTTAGAAATAGAAACATAATAATCAGCAACAGAAGGCTGACTGCTTTAAATCATCATGCTTTTTCTTTTTTTCCTACATTTACTAGGTCAGCAGAAGGAATCAAAAACTTCTCTGAGATGTAAACATTTCCAAGACTTTCCAAAGAATAAGCACATGTCTACTTTTGCTGTGTACTCTGGAAAGTTGATCATGGTCAAATATTCTGTTAGTCTACAGCAGATTAAACAGCTGCATTACTGTAAACTGAGTTTGATTCTCCATGATTCAGCTTTTGCAATTCCTAGCTATAACTGTTTAAAATAGAGACTGTCCAGGGTGTTCCCTTTTGCTCTGCTGGTGATAAGAAACATATACTGAGACAGCTTAGAGAAAGATTTACCTCTTCTCTTTCAGTTACATCTTTTAAGAGGCTAGTCATAAACTTTGGTTTTGTTCTCTCTTTTTTTTTTTTTCTGAGACATACTTTCAAACAAACTCTACATGTGATTGGGAGCAGTTTACTTTCAAAGTGTCGTGATGAGCCTAACTTCTCTAATTGTGTCCTAAAGAAGCAGGCTTCAGCCTCAGGCACAAGCATCCTGGCACAGCTCAGAAGGAAAAGGGCACACTGGGAACTGTGCAAAACGAGCACCCCTAAGCACTGAGGGCTTTAAACTTCCTAATGGATAAAAAATAGAAGGGTACTGTGGTATATTTGGTAAAAGCTTTATGCCAAACAGTGGCAAGGATGAGGGCATTCAGTTGTAAAGTTACTCAAGTGTAAGCAAATTGGCAAACAGAGTCTTCATGTTGGTGTGCCCTACTTCGGAGACGGAGTAAATGTAAAAGGAGGTTTTATTTCCTCTAAACTTTTAAAATATGTATATACCAAAAAAGGAGGGGGAGAGGAAAACAAAATGCTGTGATTCATTATGTTACTAATTTTCAGTAGTTGCATAGAAAAATTCTGATCTCTGACTGTCATGGTTTAAGCCCAGTCGGCAACTCAGCCGCACAGCCCACTCTCTCACTCCCCTCCCTTTCCTCCCCCCCCCAACTCCCGGGGGGATGGGGAGGAGAATCGTAAGAATGTAACTGCCACGGGTTGAAATAAGAACAGCCCAGTAACTAAGGTATAACACAAATCACTGCTGCTACCACCAATAATAATAACGATAAGGGAAATAACAAGGGAAGAGAATACAACACCTCACCACCCACCGACTGATACCCAGCCCGACCCAGCAGTGATCTAGCCCTTCTGGGTAACTGCCCCCAGTTTTACATCCTCGGCATGAAGTGCTGTGGTATGGAATACCTCTTTGGTCAGTTTGGGTCAGGTGTCCTGTCTCTGCTTCCTCCCAGCTTCCCCTCCTCCCTGGCAGAGCATGAGGCTCAGTCCTTGGTCAGAGTAAACATTACTGAGCAGCAACTAAAAACATTGGTGTTATCAGCGCTGTTCCCAGGCTGAAAGTCAAAAACACAGCACTGCACCAGCTACTAAGAAGGAGGAAAAAACTGCTACTGATGAACCCAGGACACCGACTTTTAAAGAAAATATTATGTAGGCCCCATATTAATATGGACATAGGTAACTCAGTATTGGCGAAGATTATTCAGTGCACTATATGGAAAGAAGTTTTGCATTTTCAGAGCATGCACTGCATTAAAACTGCACAACCTGTTCTATTTCCAGTCTCAAGTGAATGGTTTTCATCCTATTCCCAATTGAGAATAGCTCCTTGATAACCACAAGCTATAATTAGGTGTAATAACATTAGAAAAGAATGTATGTGATTTTTCATTTTTTTGCTTTTTTTTTAAAAAAAGATTACTCTGTGTACTTATGCACAGACGCACTTATTTAATTTCCTTCTCTCCTTTCCTCTGCTTTATCCCCTTATTCTTACAGCTAGAAGAAAAAGGAAGAAATACTGTACTAACCAGCTCCCTGCAGCTTGGAAATATCTGTGGTAAGGAACTTCACTAAGAAAATAATCTTTTGACTTTGCTTGTGAATCAGCACATCCTAAGACTGTGCTTAGGAAAAATGTAATGACTGTTTTTGAAAGATAAATGTTAAGTAGGTTCATTGTCAATTTAAGTCACTAATTCTGCAAACTTAAATTTCAGTGGGTTCATTTGGGCTGCTAGCCATATTTGTCACTTACATGGATGATTCAAATGGGAGCTTTATGTGTTGCATTACATGATAAACCACTTCTCTGTTTCTACTAAGCATGCAGTAACACACTTCAGAGCAGCACTTTGCACTTGCTGTGTATTGCTTCAGGGAGGATTGTCTTTCCCCATGGGTTTTTAGTGTTGTGAAAACACTCATTCACATAACCGAGAGAAACATTTCACTTTTCTACACAAAATACCTTTCTCAGTTCTCTTCCCTGTTTCTTTCTGAGATATTTTTTGTGTTAGATATTGGTATTTAAAAGCAAAATCTCTTTCACCCATGGCTCAAGCAAATGAGCTGTTTGCAGGGAATCTGCTGGAACTTGCAGTGAAGGAAGAAATCTTCCTATAAAACTACCAAACAACTGCAGTCCCAGAATAGCAATGAGCTCCAGGAAGCTCTTTCTTAGTTACCAGAATTGCTTGCCATCACTAGTTTACGGCAAGAATGTGTATGCCATGTGCTATCTTGCACCCAGGAGATGCTATCTGTGAACTCTAAGAAGAGCCCTCCCTTGATGAGGGACAAGGATGCTAAACTTCACCTCATATAATAAAGTAAGGCCGAGGTCTTTAAAATAGCTATATTCCATTCATTAACTGTCTGGCATAAGGAATGATCTGCAGAATCCTAACAGCAGCTTATCATGGCTCTGTGGTTTCTGATGGGAAAACAAATATATCATGTAAGGGAATAAAGTGCATTTCTCTGGTTATCATTCCTCTCCAGGCTTTTGTGTCGCAGATTGTCTGGCAGACTCTCACAATTGTTTCCTCCTGCAGCTTCTGGAAATGATATGCTCTTTTCTTCACTAAAGGAAAATATGCCCACAGCAGAGATAGGTTTTCTTTTGTATTCTTTTGTATTTTTCCATTTTGCCATTAACTGATCTTTAGCTTTCAATCTCATTCAAGTGCATGAACATAATTTGTGTCAGGACTTGTACACTGCTTCAGGTAACTGTTGAAATTTGTGTTCTCTTAATGTATTCATATTTTTGTTAAATCTTTGATAAGCACACTAGACCTGAGTCACCACACAGATTGCATTGAGCAAATGACAGTGCACTTCGGTAGTGCAAATCTGGCTGCACATGAGGAGCTGAAGGAGTGCACAGAGCAGATCCCAGAGAGGTGGGTCCCATGCAAAGGTGCAAAGATGAAAGTAATACTTTTTAAATGGACTTTCCTCTTTGATTTGCTGAAATTTATCTCTTCAGGCTATCATGAAATCTACTATGTGTGGTGGGCTATGGAAGAAAAATATCCAAGACAACTGCTTTTCACTTTGAATCTGATTATCTAGCTAATGAAAGGGAACAGCAGGCTTTTGTATATGAGCTATCTGGCTGGTTCCTGCTCAGAAAGTGCTTTCCCCCTCCCCTTGTCCTCCTCCTTGGTAGCTAAAGCAGACCCTTCTCCTGAGGCTGCTCCCTGAGTGCTGGGCTGTGGGGTGCCAGCTGGCTCCTTCCTCTTGCCTGGCTACTGTGCCACCTTGGAGACACACCAAGTCCCCACCTGTGCAAGGGTTGGATACTGGCCTGTGAATTGCCAGAAATTTGACTATGATTCAAATGGATACCACTGAAAAAAAGTCTTTTCTTTTTCTTTCTCCTTTTTTCTTATTTTTTCCCCTGGTCAATGTGACTGCAAAGCACATTTCCTTGAGAGCTGGGGAAGAGCATATTTAGCCTGACACCTGATGAAGTGGTTAGTCTCTGCCTGGCATCCCTTATTTGATGGAAGATGTCACATGTGAAAGGTAGCATTGCTATCTGTTTTCCTCACAATGCCTCAAATGCCTCAGAATGAAAGGGTTCAAAAATGAGCAATTTCCTGCCTCTCAATCCCTTCCAACCCCTCCACAGAACATGTTTATTTTTTCAGTTACTTTCTTCAGTGATTTAAGTTACTTCCTGTGTATGCAGCAGTATGCCTGTGCTTGTGATTCATTACATTGCTTATGGGTGTTTAGAGTTTGGTAGCCTCCTGTAAAACATGATTTGTAAATACATCCTCCATGTGAGACGAGGAGGAAGAGATGACTAGTACTTTGCTACCTTCTGCACTGATCAAGTAGGAAATAAGCAGTCCAAAGAAATTTGTTCTCTATTGAAAGAACTTAAAATGGAGGTTTAAAATTAAGAGGAAAGTTAAATTACATATACACGTACATTTAACAGGAAGATAACCAACTGCTTGGTTTTAAATCATAAATGCAAAACCAATTCCCTCTTAGTTTTGAGAGACAGTGAGAGCTGGAGGGACTGAGAGTTGCCCAGGCTCTTCCTCTCAGCCCTTCTGCCTGTTCATAGAACCATAGAATCATAGAATCGTTAGGGTTGGAAAGGACCTTAAGATCATCTAGTTCCAGCCCACCTGCCACGGGCAGGGACACCTCACACTAAACCATGTCACCCAAGGCTCTGTCCAACATGGCCTTGAACACTGCCAGGGATGGAGCATTCACAAATTCCCTGGGCAACCCATTCCAGTGCCTCACCACCCCCACAGTAGAGAACTTCCTCCTCATATCCAGTTTAAACTTCCCCTACTTAAGTTTTAACCCATTACCCCTTGTCCTATCACTACAGTCCCTAATGAAGAGCTCCTCCCCAGCATCCCTACAGGCCCCCTTCAGATACTGGAAGGCTGCTATGAGGTCTCCATGCAGCCTTCTCTTTTCTAGGCTGAACAGCCCCAACTTTCTCAGCCTATCTTCATACAGGAGGTGCTCCAGTTCCCTGATCATCCTCGTGGCCCTCCTCTGGACTTGTTCCAACAGTTCCATGTCCTTTCTATGTTGAGGACACCAGAACTGCACACAATACTCCAGGTGAGGTGTCACGAGAGTGGAGTAGAGGGGCAGGATCACCTCCCTCAACCTGCTGGTCACGCTCCTTTTGGTGCAAGCCCAGGATACGGTTGGTTTTCTGGGCTGCAAGTGCACACTGAAGCTGGCTCATGTTCATTTTCTCATCGACCCCAAGTCCTTCTCATCAGGGCTGCTCTGAATCTCTTTTCTGCCCAACCTGTAGCTGTGCCTGGGATTGCTCCAACCCAGGTGTAGGACCTTGCACTTGTCATGGCTAAACTTCATGAGGTTGGCATCAGCCCACCTCACAAGCGTGTCGAGGTCCCTCTGGATGGCATTCCTTCCCTCCAGTGTATCAACCAAAAAACACACCTTGGTGTCATCGGCAAACTTGGTGAGGGCGCACTCAATCCCACTGTCCATGTCAGCGACGAAGATGTTGAACAAGACCGGTCCCAACACTGATCCCTGAGGGACACCACTCGTTACTGGTCTCCAGCCGGACATCGAGCCATTGACCACAACTCTTTGCATGCAGCCATCCAGCCAGTTCTTTATCCACCGAGTGGTCCATCCATCAAATTGATGTCGCTCCAATTTAGAGACAAGGATGTCGCGTGGGACAGTGTCAAACGCTTTGCACAAGTCCAGGTAGATGACATCAACTGCTCTGCCCCTGTCCATCAGTTCCGTAGCCCCATAGAATGGGTTCCATAGTTCTATGGTTCCATAGAAGGCCACCAAATTGATCAGGCAGGATTTCCCCTTAGTGAAGCCATGCTGGCTGTCACCAACCACCTCATTGTTTTTCATG